GAGTCCGAGGAGTCCTATCTGTATTTGCAGTGGCCGTGCCCCAGCCCTGTCCCAGCGACCTCTTCCTGGAGGCAAGTCAGTCAACACCAATCCAATGTCTGGATTATTTGTTGCCATTGGTCCCACCTGATCTTTTGAGCTCAGAGAGTTTCTTTGTAATTCAGAATCACCACTAACCTACTGTAAAAATCAAGCCCACTATAAGCAAGTTCACTCATCAATGATTTCCTTTGATTTCTCTGTAAGCACCCACCCACCACACCCACCGGCATTTCACTTAGTCGTCTCCTGCGCACATCCACAGCGAGCCAGAGCTCTGGTCCCCCACTCTAATGCAGTTCACTCAACGGCGCAATCTGCGTCACAACAGCCCAGTGAGTTGTTAACCATTTAACCACTTACATTGGAAGGCGGAGCCACCATCTGTAACATCTGAGTATGTTATAACATTAGGATTCTGGACTCGCTCCCCCTTGAGCTTGTTTTTGAGCCCAGAGTAAAGGTTCTGTTCTCTCGGTCACAGAAACAGGTAAGCTAGGTAGCCAAAGCTGTGTCCTTTCCCAAGGGCGTACCATTCAAAGTCAGCTTTGCCTGTTTTCTTCATATCGCTTTCAGGATTCGAAGTTATCAAAATGAAGTCATACTGAAATCAGACTTCACAAGGTCAACCCATGAATAAAAGAGCACACATTCGAGAAGGCCACACACTTGAGGATTCTGAAGCTGACCTAGCCCACCATCCTAATCTCTAGTCTTCCCATCTCATTCTTGACAATGCTAGTAATAATAATGACCATAACAACAGCAATAAGAATCATTATTATTATGGATATTACTTAGTATTTACTTAGGATGCTATTTTTGATTGGCCAAATTATTTCCTACATCATCTAATGGTATGTGACTTGCTTACCTTACTCTGGTTGCCTAGTGAGGAAGAATGACACAGTGATAAAATACCAGCCACCACACACTCTCATCACAGGATCACAGAGAAGACACATCCCTGTCGGTACTTGCGTCTTGGTTTATACCAAAACCAAGGAATGAAAGCATCAGCAAGCCCCAAAGGAGGTTCTCATGTTAGTGTCCAAAGGCCCAGTACAACATTCTGTGGTGATGGACACATTCTATATAGGTACTGACCAATGCAGCGTGGCTACTGGGCCCTTCTCCTGTGGCTGGTGGGACAGTGGAATTGAAGTTTTAGCTGTATTAACTTTAATTATTAAAATTTAAGGCCATGTGTAGTGGCTCACGCCAGTAATCCCAGCACTTTGGGAGGCCGAGGAGGGAAGATTACTTGAACCCAGGAGTTCGAGACCAGCCTGCACAACATAGCAAGACTCTGTCTCTACAAAAATTAAAAAAAAAAGAAAAACAGCCAGGCGTGGTGGCACATAGCTGTTGTCCTAGCCACTTGAGAGAGGCTGAGGCAGGAGGATTGAGCCCAGGAGTTTGAGGTTGCAGTGAGCTGATTGCATCACTGCACTCTAGCCTGGGCAATAGAGTGACAACCTATCTCTAAAAGGAAATTAAAAAAAATTTTAATTGCCACATGTGGCTTATGGCTACCATAGTAAACACTCCAGCTCTAGATACCTGTCCCCCACCCCCATCATCTCAAGAAGTTTTTGCGTTGGTCCTTAAAGACTGGAATCTGATTTTCTCGAAACTGTTTATGATCAAAGCACCTGAGAATGTCCGTAGACAATATGCCAACTCCTACTAAGGGAGACACATTCTATGTCATTACCGCTGCAGAGAAAAGGCGAAGTGGCTTCCCAGAGCACACTGCGGGGAAGTGCTCCTCCCCAACCACCAGGGGTCACTGGAGGTGGAACAGGGTCCCCAGGGGTTGCTATGAACACACTCCAGGCAGCTAAGCCACAAGCAAAGAGCTAAAAAAAGAAATTCTGAGTGGCTTGAAAGACTATCTTGAAAAACAAAAACAGTGGAATGAAACCAGTGGGTGTCTTGTCAGCCTTAAGCAACCATTACCACTAGCCAAAAGGACAGAACTAATTGCTTACTTAAAAGGAAAAGGAAAACGAGGAGAAAAAAAAAAAAGAAAGAAAGAAAACATGAGAAAACAACCAAATCAGAAACTATCTAAGGAATGTAAGTAGTTTCCACAGACACTTCTCGTCAAATGGGCTGTGATGGGTATTCAACATGGCCGTTTCCTCTCTCCTTCCCATCCTTCCCTTTACCCCTACTCCCTCCGCACTTGATGGAGACACCTCCTTTCTTAAATTTAATTACTTTTGTTTACCTGTCTCATAAGGGGATAAAGCACATGGCACGAGTGGTCTCCTGTCTGTGGACGGCAGAGTGTGGTGGCCGGCAGGCTTTGGGGTTTGACTGGAGGCCCGGTGCCCTGACCGTAGCGTTTGCCCCGCCCCCACCCAGCGCAGCTGCTCCTTCCTCCCAGCTGCTCCCCTCAGGGCTCCAGGTTTTTTTGAAGAAACAGAAAACGACCACCCTAAACAGAAAGGGCTTTCTATCTCCTCCTGCTTAAAGCTTATCGAGTTTTGTGAGAAGGCAAATGGGACATACAGAAAATGGTTTTTAAAATCATCAGAGGATGGAGGGAAGGGCTCCGAGAACAATATTATGATTTTGTGTCCCAGAGGCAGGTCACAAGTGCCACTTTCCCAAACTTCAGGGATTCCTCTGCAAGAGGAAAATAATTATTTTCCCTCTCAATATCTTAAGGGAGGAACATTAGCTCTAGCAGTTCCTTATGGCCTTAATTTTCTCTCTGTCCCCATCCGTTCAGCCAAAGGTTGGAACTCTGCCTGCTCTGTGAGCTTGCTCTGAAAAGCCCTCCCAAACCGCAGGGCATAATGAATCAACTGGAATGAGGACAAAGACTAGAATTTCAACCAGTAGCAAGGGTGGGCTGGCGGGGCATTCAGGTGGGGGCCAGGATTGCAGGAGGGGGAGGCGGAGGTGAGCTGGTGAAGGGACAGGGGTACAGGCCAGGGTTGAAGGGAGGTAACATAAGCTCTCCCCAAACTGCTACTTGCTAATTGGTGGCCTTGTAGCCAGGACAGAGCTGGCCTCAGACACTCCTAGAGAAAACCTGCTTAGAAGAGTGCAAGGGAGGAAGCCAGAATTACTAGAATGAACCAGAAGATGGACTCTGAGTAAGAGCCAGCCAATCTGCCCAGCCTGTAGGGGACTCAGGCTATGTCCCTGTAGTCAAAGTGCCTCTGCCAAGCGGCCCCCTTAGGCTCACGCCTCACAGACACGCGCACAGCTATGCACAGAATCCACAAACACACTTGTACATACACAGAACCCACAAGCCTTCTTTACATTCAGATAAAAGGTGGGGGTTGGGAAAAACCACGAATTAATTGGACCCAGTCTCAAAGGAGAGGAAATGAAATGAAAAATCCAGGCTGGGTTATAAAAATAAGTATTTTTTTTTCCAACGTGCAGGAGGCTCATTATATTAATTAAACATTATTGCAGTGAATGAGAGGGGGGAGGGTGATTAAGGCTGGGACCAGGGTAAGTGTTCTCTCCTGTTGCCCGAGGCCGTGGTGATCTTCAGATATTAATCTCTCTGAGCACTCAAATGCTGAAGAGATAAACACTTGAAATATGAAAATGTTTTTCTCCAGAGCAGACGCTGTGACCCGCCAGGTAAGCAAGTGGGGGCTGTGTCAGGAGGCCACCCGAAGTGCTCTCCTAGCCTCCATCCCGCTGTCACCCCCTGGGGACAGGGGACAGTGGCCAGTCCTGGGGTGGGGGGAGGGAGTGGCTCTGAGGAGTCTGCAGAAGGGGAGGTCCCTTCTCCCTTTTATTTTCTAGTATTTTCCCATTGTGCCATGGCAACATTTGATCTCTGAAATTTCCAGAATTAACCCTTTTCCTCTCAAATGCTATGGGGTCTAAGGTAACCATTATTAAATTTAAATTATATAAAGTTGCAATTAAATAAATTATATAAAATGCCAAAGATAACAGATTCTCAAAACTCAGCCCTTGCTAATTATCTCAATACATTTGGCCAGGATGCTCCTGAGGCCGTTCATGTCTATTGCGCTGCATTTCTCAACTCCACCTGCGGTGATGTTGTGTTGGTAGCTTAAACCCAACCACAGTAAGAATATTTACACTACCAAAAATGGCCTACATTACAAAGCAGGGGTCTCTTTCAATTCCTGGAAAGCCTATTGTTAAAGATTTACCAGAATGCCACTGTTAAATTTGCTTCCGCCTGTTTAGAAAAGCTAAAGGTAGCCCTTCTCTGCCCAAAGTGCCAGGAGAGGCTTCTGAAATCTGGCTTTCTGAGACCAAAAGGGTGGGCTTAACAATATTTCAAGGACTGGCAGCAACATTCTTTTAGAGGCTAAGTGCCGGGAAGCTCTGCTAGACACCCAGGGGTGTGACAGCATTTCAATCTCTCAACTTGGTTTGCTTTAGAAGCAGTGACACCCTCAGAGAAGTTATCAGTAGACTCAAGGCCAGTGGCTTCCCAATGAGCCCGAAGTTGACGAGAGGCTCTGTGATGGTGACAGTCAGCCTAGCTATGGGATCAAGAGGACGCTGACTCATCCCATCTCCTAGGACCTCCCAGTTGCTCTTTCTTTCTTTCTTTCTTTCTTTCTTTCTTTCTTTCTTTCTTTCTTTCTTTCTTTCTTTCTTTCTTTCTTTCTTTCTTTCTTTCTTTCTTTCTCTCTCAAATCTCTCTCTCTCTCATCCTCACCCCTCTCTCTCGTCCTCTCCTTCTCTTTCTTTTATCTTGGCCCACCCCTCTCCCTCCCAGCTTCCAGGCTGTGCTGTAATCACAGGAGAGGGCTGGGAACCACCAAACCAGCTATTCTGCGAGGTGACGTCTTAAGCAAAGACTGTGGTGGTTTGTGGGCAAAGAACAGAGGATTGCTCTGCGGTGGGAGGTTATGAAGCTGGTAGGGAATCAGGACTGAAAAATGTGGGGCCTGCTGGCCTTAACTCTTTCGTCTCTTAACTCACAGCTGGCTTACCTGGAAACGTCTGGTCGTCTGGGCTGGCGCTGCTGGTCAAGGTGCTCCTGAGCCACTTGGCATGGTCATACATCCAACCGCAGGGCTCCTCCGGGAAATCAAAGTTGCAGTTGAATCCCGAAGGGAGCTGCAAATCTTTGTCTAAAAGAAGGGGAAAAAAATAACCCAAAGGCAGGCAAATGAAATGGGTTCAGAGAACAGCCACAGTGGTGCTATTTAAATGGCTGGCAAGGCCTGAGTGAGGAGCAGAGAAAGAAGTGGCTCCCTTTGCTTATTCATTTAACTCATCTTGGCGATGGCTGGCGTTCGGGTCAGACTTTGGTCTCATCCTTCCCAGGCAGGAAAGCCAAGTCTGCCAGTGGTTCCCATAGTAAGCAATTATAAATGAGGCCACCAAATGGCTTTAGGCTCTAATCAGCCTCTTCTGTCCCACCTCAGAGAGCAGACAAATGTGAAAATTGCTGTTCCCTAAATGCCAAAGAAGAATGTCTCCCCAGTGCCCCAGTGGAGGGCTGGCTCCCAGAAAGAGTATTATCTCATCTCCTGCCAACCTGGCTCTCAGAAATGGCTGAGCAGCCCGTTAGCATCCAGAGAGGCTGAAATGCCTGGGAGGCTCTGGCCAGAGAGGAGAAAGTGACCCCAGGAACAAGGGAGGCTTGTTTGCTGTTCTTCACCTCTTTGTGATCCGTCTCTTATTTCTGAAGACGGGGACAGTTGGGCATCTCCGCGGGGAGGTATCACCAGGCGGGAGATTTGGCACGTTAGGAGCAAAATGAAGGAGCTACACCAGCCAGCTGCCCGGCTGAGTGCTGACCAGGAGGAAAAGTAATGCCATATCGTGCTGAGCCCCTGAAGCCTGGGATCCCAGGGAGGCAGAGGAAGCTGTCCCCATAGAAATCTAACAAGTGGCTACAAGGTGGCTCGTCCTGTCTGCTTTGGTGTTTCACCTGCCTGAGCCTGAAGGCTGAACCAAGAGAGTTTCTTGTGAGGTTCCAACCAGCTCAAAAATCCAGTGTGAGTTAGTGCCACATGCGCGATGAAGTGGGGTGGTGTGGAGGTGGGGAAACAGGAAATGGGAACCCAGATTGGACGTCTGCCCACAGTAGCTGCAGAGACAGCAGAAAGGTGCTGGCTCACGCTGGTAGCAGGGAGGAAGTGGGGTCTCTGGCCTTCTCACTTCCCTTCCCAGGGTTCCCAGAGAGGAATTTCCGTGGGGAAGGCTTAGCCTGCAGGTTAGGAAGTCTAAAGGGAACAACAGACTGGTAGAAACAAATTGCTCACCATGGGGGTGAGGAGAGCTCACCTCTTAGGGTGACAGGGCTCTGCTGGCCTCTAAGGCAGGTGGCAGATGGCCACCAGGCCCCGTTTGTGCTTCCCCTTCCCAAGAGAGGATATTTAATGTTTGCCCACCATTGGCCAAAGTCAGCTTCAAGTAGAGAAGAAACACATGGAATCTATTACAGAAACATCAACCTGTGGCTTGGAAAAGTCAGCCCTTAGCCCTCACCATCCCCTTCCTCCTGACAATTTCTGAATTTCTATTTTTCCCTTCAAAAACATGGAGTAATTCAATATACCATAATTCCTCCCTAATGTTTACAGGCATACTGTGTATCTCAGGAATCAAATTCCACAGAAAGATCCTTTGCAAAAAGAGAGGAGAGGAACCATCAAAGAAACCTCAAATGAAACAAACCACTATAAATGGGAAAATTATATTAAAAATAAACTTCTGAAATTTTGCAGCAGAACTCTTCATTTTTCCTTTGGACTGTCATTTAGGTAGAACCCCTACCCCATCCCCCAACAGGGTAACTCTGGGAATCTAAAACCACTGCAGTCCCCAACCTCCAGGCCTCAGACCTGTACCAGCCCATGGCCTGTTAGGAATCAGGCCGCACAGCAGGAGGTGAGTGAGGAAGCTTCATCTGCATTTACAGCCGCTCCCCATCGCCCACATCACCGCTTGATCAGAGCTCAGGGCCCCACTGATTCTGCATTACGGGGAGCCGTATAATTATTTCACTATATTTTACAATGTATTACAATAATAGTAGAAACAAAGTGCACAATAAATGTAATGCACTTGAATCATCCCCAAACCATCCCCACCCCCCACCCCCAGGTTCCGTGGAAAAATTGTTTTTTCCATGAAACCAGTCCCTGGTGCCAAAAAGGTTGGGGACCGCTGCGATACCGTATATTAACTCCCTATGCGTTCCACTTTTGGCTCGCAAACTATCTCAAACGAGTCTTGGAAGATTCTCCAAGTCTCCTTCTTCTCTTCATAAAACAAAAACAAGTTCATTAAAATGTCAGAATTCTGTATTCAAGTAACCCTGACCAACAGTGTCCCCCACCCACACAATATACGAAAGCACATTCCCAGAAGCATGTGCATTAAATTATCATTTTTCAGTCATGCAACTTCAGCATTTATTTTTGGCCTTCCTCCCATTCTTCTCTGTAGCCATTTTTCGGAGTCACCCACTGGATGGGAGCAGTTCCTCCTACTGTCACACAGCTGCGTGTGCAGGTTCCACCGATTTCGCCATCTCCCTCCGTCTTTATGTCTCTGTTACTTCTCGCGCCTCTTTGCCAGTCTTCCCTCATTTTGTTCAATGAACATTTAATAATAACCAGTAGTTTACTGTAAATGGAGGCTGTCAAGGTTAAAATTCTAGCCCAAAGTGCCAGGTGTTCCAAAATTTGTGGTTTATTAGGAATGTCCTCATACTTGGTGACCGTAACAGTATATGATTTAAAATGCGACTGTTGGGCTGTATGTACTGTTGGCCTCTGCCAATTTTTGTTTTTATCTAACTTGGATTTGCTCCTAAGACAAAGGGGAAAGAAAACAGATTTCCCAAGTGGTGAGACTGATCCAAACACGAGGAGGATCAGCGGCTGAGGATGCCTTTTTACACTTCTGCCTTTGTCTCTGGCCAGCACTCAAGGCATAGAGAGTGCTACACGCTACGTCATAGAATCATCACTGTCACAATTCCTCACAAGTGGTGGTGAAAGACACAGGGAAATTAAGTCATGGTTAATTGATGAATTAACCCAGCTGTCATAGTCTACTGACCAAAGCACCCAGATGACCACCAGACCTTCACTTGACTGTACCACAGAGACACAGCTTTTAGGAAAAACTCGGACTCTAAGGATGAGAATGGCTTTCCTTTAAAGAGGAGAAGCATGGTGGTGAGGGCTTAAGGATGAGACTTCTCAAAGGAGGCGTTCTCTTTGTTCTCAGCTCAGCCGATGAGCAGTGGGTTCACACCCACAAGGCTGTATTGGGTGCTATGGTCTGGACTGGTTGTACAGAGCCACTGCCTCCAGCCCCTGAGTACCTGCACCTCCCTGGTCCCCGCCTAAGATGCCCTGGATCTTGGACTCGGGGAACCCCCCACTCGGACTGGTCTGCACCCATGCCATCCTGGATGTGATGTGCCCCACACCGATCCTCACCATCCTCAAAGCTGCAGTTCTCCCCACACTCCGTGGCTTCCTCGTCGATGGGGTATGGGGTGGTTGTCTCTTCGCTCTTCACGGTGGGTCCCAGCGTCTCTACCGTGGGCTTTGAGTCTGTGAAGGCACAGGAAGAGAAGAGAAGGTGGCAGCAGCCTGCATGGCAGCCCAGCAGGAGGAAGGTGCCAAAGATGAAGTTTCCATCTCATGCGTGGGCTTTTAGAGAAGGAAAACGGAGATGCACTCACATGCGCAAAACCCTGAAGTCACCTCTCTGTGCTGCCAGTGACGTCAGGAGCCTGGCCTGAGTTGAATGGGAATGGCCTGAGTTGAATGGGAATGGCCCTGGGCTGCAGAAAGAGCCGTGACAGAGGTACACACACAAATCCACGCTCGCTCTACTCCACTGCAGAGGCCTGGCGGCCAGCATGAAAGGCCACAGGAGACAATGACGGAGGTGGGTGGTGGGGATGCTGACTCCAAAGTGGGGCTAAGCCATGCTGTGCTTCGTGTCAGCACGAAACTGGGTGGGCAGGAATGTGGATTTAGAGGGGCTCAGACCCTGGTTGGTGAGAGGAATTTGGGGCTGTGCCTTTAGGTCAGGGTGTGGCAAATTCAAATATTTCCTGGATTCAAACAGCTACAATAAGCCAGGGAAGCAGACAGGGGGTTGGGGAGAGGGGAAGGTGGAGGAGGTGATGGCAGCTGGCATCTTGCATGCCTGGGTTAAAGAGGCCACCACGACTGGCTCCAGCAATTTGGGACCAGGCAAAGAAATGGCCCAGTGCGACCAGGTTTTCCAAGTTTCCTCCCACCCCCAAGGCAAAAATCCCTATACAAAATCTCCAGATTCATACATGTTGGCAACTTATTCAAACTGTCATAATAAGTAGCGTGCAATAAACCCTGGCTGGGCCAAACCTGGCTGCAAGCAGTGTGTTCCGACCTGGGTTCTCCGTGATTCATTCGCCCATTCATTCGATTATTTGCTCGCGCCAGTCATTCATTCAGCAACCATTTAGGGGATGAATGGAGCTATGAGTCAGCTCCTGGGTGGGGTGAAAGGGGTTATGGAAACTGGTGTTCAAGTCCATGTGTTTTGGGGTGGAGTCTTCACCCCAGAGCTGTCCTCCAACAAGACGCCCAGTAGAAGCGAGGAGCATTGTTCCTCCCATTTCTATACGTGCTCCTTTGCACTATTGTATGTGATTAGGCGCCTTTGTCAGGCACCCTTCAGGACACCATTTAATAAAGCCAGGAGCTGGAGGAAATTGCTAAATACGCTGAATAGCTTTTTCACGGTCGACTTCCCACCTTTCTGCCATTAAATACTACGCACATAACCTTTCATACTTCCCTTTGCTGTGTCTGCCTCTTGCTCACAGTAAATAGCAAATAACCTCGAAGCGTCCTAATTTGTAAGTTCAAATTTGTCACTGTGTCATAGAAACTCAATTGTAAAGTAAACTACAGGCGGCAAGGCAAGACGTAATCATTTGAAACACAAACAAACCAACTAACAGGTGAAGCAGCCCTGTCAAATTATTTAGCTGCAGCAACTCAACCCAGCCCATTATCTTTCCTGTTATCCTTTGGGTAGGAAAGAAGAAGTGAACCAAGGATGAGTTGCAGAACCCAATGGAAATTTGAAAAGCAAACAAAGCCACATGACCCACGGAGAACAGTTTCTGGAAATGTTCGGTAGCCAAATGGGTCGGCTGATTGGTGTAGATAATGTGAAATGCAGGGGGCACAGGGGCCGGGGAGGCAGCGAGAGGGCAGGGCGTGCTAGTGAAAGTGAGGAAACGGCGGCACGGAGGCCTCCGTGTTTACACTGTGTGCGCGCTGTGTTAGTGCTGGCCGCTCCGAGGTAACTGCCCATCAAACAGCAATGCGGCCCCGAAATTGAAACCAGATGTCAGACTTCAAAGGGAAGGAGGCTGGGCAGAGGGTAACGCTCCTCAGCTCCTCAACTCTGATCTTCTGAGGAACGGCCAGGCTGGGCTTTGAAATGAGAAACCTGTTACTGGCCATCACCAGTGTCATTTGGGGCAGGTTGGGGTTGGGGGCAATGAGGGGGAGAGGTCATTAGCAACTGTCCGGCTGCCATAAAACAGGGCCAGGCCAGGAGAGGCCGGGCACCAAAGGCTAAGGACAGGAGGGAAGTGTGAGCTGGCCCCGGCCAGCTGAGTGACCTCTGGTGAGTGGCTTCCTCTCTCTGGGGCTCAGTTTCCCCATCTGTGAAAGAGGACTTGGCCTAGGTCTGTGATTTTTTCCAAACCATGTGTCCACTCATCAGTAGGTTGTGGAATCAACTTACCAGGTCATGATTAGCATTTTAAAATTATGGACCATAAGATTTCAGGGTGCACAGCATGGTAAGGATGAGCATTGCTATGGGAACCATTTACTTATTATAACAGGTTTTCTGGGTCCCGGGCAGTGTCTGAGTATGTCATATCCATTATTTTATTTAGTTTTCATATGATCTGAGCGGTGTAGACGGACTACAGTCATCCCTATTTTTCAATTAAGATAATCGAGGCACTGAGAGACTAAGTAACTTGTCCCAAGGTTATGTAGCCAGCGATCAGCAGAGGCAGGACTTGAACTCGGCAATCTGTCTCCAGAGTCCAAGCCCTTCATTGCACCCCTTTATACACAAACATGTGAGTGCTTGTTTGTGTGTATGTGTTCATGCTGGTAAGTGAAGTGATAGAAAATTATTTTAAATTGTGGCTCATGGTCAAAACTATGGGAAAGCCACTGGACTATAAGCTCCCGAATCCCCTGCAGGCTAAGCCCCTGATTCTGAGGCTGCCATAAATGAAGCCAGCTTGCACTGGAGCGGCGGTTTCCAGCACCTGCGAGGAGACAGGTGACACACATTTAGCAGGCTGTAGGGAACCTTGGCCTCACCCCTGCGTGATAGGGAGCGAAGTGTCTTCCTACGAAGATGTGTTCGCTGGGGCTGCCTTCAATTCAAAGGTGAGGCGGCTAATTTGGACCCGATTCCCCATCTGTGCACCTCGGTGGGGCTCCTCTGCGCGGCTGTGGCAGCACACAGGCAGCACTTTTCTCCCTGGGAGCCAAAAGCACTTCTCCAACATGCCCTTATTAATCCTTCATGCTATCTTGCTGGCTGGGTCGGTGACAGGTACGGCACAGACAGGAAAATCGGGACACCTGGGGCCCTGGTGGAGAGGACTGGGCTCGGGCCCCCAGCCCCAGAGGCTGCCAGGAGCTCCTTTCGGCAGGCAGTGAGTGACCTCTGGGTGACAGCTAGTGCCGGCCCTGCCCAGGGAGGATGGCCGGTGCCTGGAGGAAAGGTGAGGCCTGACTCAGAAGGGTAGGGCCCTCCCTTGAAAGCAAAGAGGGGGGGCAGGCAGCGGCTTCACCCTCATTAGGGAGAATTAGAGGTGCCCCCAGGCCTGCGCCACCTGGCAGGGACAGGGGGTGAGCGAGACTCTGCTGTGTGCTGGGAAGGACTCCTACCCCCGCCAGCTCCCTGCAACGGGGTCCCTCCTGAGCAAATAAATGCCTTTTACAGATGTGGCTTCGAAATGAAAATGAAGTCTCTTAGCCACTGACATCTGGAGGCCAGATTCAGACATAAACCGATTACTTTATTATCATGAGGGTTTTTTTCCTTCCCTAAATCAACAGCCACAGCCCTCTGGCCTGAAGAGTCAGGGTCTAATTGAATTTGGGTGGGTGGTGTGTGGTTATGATTTGTTTTTGAGAGACTTGGCATGTTGGAGAACTGCAATGATCCTTCAAAAAAGACAAAGTGCATCCCTTCAGCAATTGTCCCGGGTCCAGAGGCTGCAGTGCTCTGGTCTGGGGCCTGGGAACACGGAAGGGGTCCGAGGGTTTTCCAGCTGGCAGGGCTTCACTGGGGAAGGCTGCCCCCTCCACCCCCACCCAGAGAATCCAGGCTCACAAGACCACCTGCGGAGGCCGGGAGAGGAGAGCGGAGACTTACCTGTCCAGTCACAGCCCAGCACCTCCAGCCGCATCCCTATCCCCGCCGGGGACCACCTCTCGGGGTACACCCGCACGAACTGCGCCGGCACAGGGTCGAACCTCCGGATGTCAGGGGTGTCGTAGTGCATGTTCCCTTCAAACAGCTGCAGGGAGACAGGCCACTCAGCCCTTGCGGCATGGGGACCCCCAACTCACCTTCTCCTCCTCACATCCAACCAGGAAGGCAGCTTCAGAGTTGACACATGGTCACTGGGACGTTATGATCCATGGGAGCTTCATTTTCAGACCAAGGATTTTATTCATTTGGAACGTGGTTAGGGACTCAGATCATGGAAAACGGGGAGTGAACAAAGGTGGTCGTTTCCAGGTTATATCTTTTATCTAGGGACTGAAATTGAGGACTCAGGGAAGAATTAGACTCCAAATGTTTTTTTTTTTGTTTTTTGTTTTTTTTTGAGACAGAGTCTCACTTTGTTGCCCAGGCTAGAGTGAGTGCCGTGGCATCAGCCTGGCTCACAGCAACCTCAATCTCCGGGGCTCAGTGATCCTACTGCCTCAGCCTCCCGGGTAGCTGGGACTACAGGCATGCGCCACCATGCCCGGCTAATTTTTTGTATATATATTTTTAGTTGGTCAATTAATTTATTTCTATTTTTGGTAGAGACGGGTCTCGCTCAGGTGGTTTCCAACTCCTGACCTTGAGCAATCCGCCCGCCTCGGCCTCCCAAAGTGCTAGGATTACAGGTGTGAGCCACCGCGCCCGGCCTTCCAAATGTGTTTTAAGCTGAGCTTGGCTAGAGAGAAAGGAAGGCAATTTAGGCTTTCTTGATCATTCTGAATTGCTTGGTTTACTGAAGAAGGGAAGCTTCTTTTTCTAATGCCTGAAAGCCTAGATTTAGAAAGACCCACCAGTGGTAGTTCCCAGTTCACTGAGAGCCTTTAGAAAACGTGACCACCCTTTTCTTTAGGCTCATGACAATATCCTCTGGTCACATATTGATAATCTGAGATAGTTTCCAACAATTTGTTTAGCACAAGCAATTCTGACAAAAGAAAGCTCACATAGACCCCAATACATAAGACCAATGATGGTGGGGCTGCCCTGGTGAAGCCAAGTGGGGACCAACCCAGAGCACTCTGGGAGCCACTCATCTATGGGAAGGGCAGGCGTGAGGGTTGCCAGGACTGCAGCCGATTGACCCATGGGATGCTACAGGGCCGCCCACTTTGCAGGGTGCCCGGGGTCCACAATGCTGAAAGGGGCATACTGTCCATGGGAGGGCAGGCTCTGACCCTGGCCAAGATCTTCTCCTTTTCCAAGAAGAGCCTGGATCAGCTCTTCCTGGGGGAACCTGTGGTCCAACTTCTGCTCCATCCATGGAAGATCCTAGTTACCAAGCCCCAAGCCTTTCCAAGCCTCTGGAATTATGAGCTGGGGGTTTACATCGGCGTTGCAAAACCTCCAACCCAAACTTTGCCTCTGCATTGGGAACGGAAAGATTCGCTTAGCGAAGGTGGCTGACCAGAGACATGCAATACTCCCTTCCTTTTTAGGGGCCCTTTTCTTCAGAGGAAAACAAGGGGAAACTTAGAAATGAAGATTAGAGTGCCTGGCCCACCAGGAGACTAATCTGGAGAGGGACAGAGGCATGATGTCCCTCCCCTTCTTGGGGCTCCCGCGTGAAAGGCCAACCTTCACCCCTCTGATGGCAGGCGGGAGGTCGGGCTGTACTGGCCTGAACTCCTGGCCCGGAGTAAGTTTCTCCTGAGCCTCAGTATGAGAGGTGGGAAAGATCTAAGCAGTCAAGACCAGGAAAATACAAAGAAATGCAGCAACATTCAGAAAACAGTTATTTTTGGAAGTAAACCCCTAGTTTCTATAGTTTGGCCTCCAAAAACCACATCCCCTTTGGATGTCTGGCCAATTTCATGGAAACTTTATCTGGTAGAGGGTATAAAGGGTGCTGAACTTAAAAAAAAAAAAAGCAGTGTTGAGTAGTGGTTAGGCATTTGGACTTTGGAGTCAGACTTAACGTTTCTGAATCATGGCTCTACCACAGGTAAACCGTGCGACCCTGGCATGATACCAAGCCTCAGTTTTATCATCTCTAAAATGGGAGTGACAAAAGGATCTACTTTGTAGAGATGTGGGGATTAGAAGAGAGTCTAAATAAGGCACTTATCGCCATGCCTGGCACAAGGTAATCTCTCCAATTATATTTATTTTATTGGTTTGCAGCGGTTTAGAGGATGGCTGTCTAGCCGGGAAATTGGCACCCCCAACTCCCTTCATCCCAGTTAGGCTCTCTGTTTTGGGTAACGTTACAAAGGCCTCCAAGAACGGCCTACCTTTGGCTGCTGGGTCCTGGGGTCCTGGATGTATTCCCAGTCCTTGCCGTTGAGGCTGTAGGAGACTTTGAACTTGCGCACAAATGCCCTGGCTTCCACTGCGGTGATGCTGTCTCCTCCACGGGCTCCCTGGACAATGACGCCCTTCACCGTCTTGGGTGCTCCCAGGTCTACCTGAAGCCACTCTTCACCCGGCTGGGCCTGAGGGATCCGGGGGAACCAGCCGGAGCGGCTGCTGACCAGGCGGGCTGCGCTGGGGCTCCACAGGTACTCGCGGGTGGAGGAGGCGGAGATCTGGGCGTCCGCGATGAGGCCCGAGAGCATCCCCAGCATGTTGGAGCAGGGGGCGTCTGCGGAGAGGGGAGGAAGATGCGAGAGGTCATGGCTGACACCCCTCTAACCAGGGACCTCCCCCAACTAGTAGGGAGATGCAAAAGACCCCAACTGTCACTCACTTTAAGTCAGTGCCGATTTCTTTGCGTTTCGAGGTTGTCTAGCACCATGGTCAAGAGCCCAGACTGGGAGCCAGACTGCCTGTGCTCATGTTCACTCTGCCACCTACTAGTGGGATGATGACCTTGGGCAAATTATTTAATTGCTCCATGCCTCAGTCTCCCCAGATCTAAAGGGGAGCCCACTGCAGTACCTACCTCTTGGTGTTGTTGTGAGGTTTCCATTCATTACCGTATAATGGCTCCCAGGACAGTGCCTGGTATATCCGAGTATCTAATGGCTGGCAGCTCTTTGTACCAACAGCTCTAACCAAGGACTGTCAGGATGTGTGTCTGCCGATCTTTGTCGAGGACACTAGTCCCCACTGACCCTCTCAGGGACAGTGAGCACAGGGGAGGCAGCTAAGATCCCTGGTGATAGTTTTGCCAGGTGGATGGAAACTTCCACTTGTGTCATCACTGCTGTTTACTGCCTTGGATCCTCCCCGTGTGCTGTTCCTGCTATCCCCATGCTGTTCCCTTCAGTCATCCGCAGACTAACCTTTGCTCACCCCAAGCTTAAGTGCCACATTCTTGGGAAGGCTGTCCCTAAATTTTTAATCCACACAAAAGTAGGTCCCCACAGTCACTGCAGAGCACCCTATTCTTGTCCTTCACACACACCTTAGCTTATAATTATCCAGTACTTGCATTTGTTTATCACCTCTCTCGCCCACTAGCCTGAAAATTCCTGAAAGCCCCATGATGTCAGAGATCCCATCTGTTCTGTTCCCTTCTCTATCTCCAATACCCAGGGTGGGGCCTGGCACACAGTATTAGTGAACTGAATGAATGAGTGAAGAATGTATGAATAATGATATCAGAAAAGGTAGGGTCTATAGCAAGTGTGCATTAAATACTTATAAACTGAGTTATAGGTACCAAAAAGATCCTTCAGGTTATATCTCTTTTTCAAATTCACTGGTTCTCTCCTTTTGATCTTCCATAAAATGAGTTTTAACTAAATCCTTACTGATTAGCCTTTGCTGGAATAGCAACACGGAAAGGACAGAAAACAGTCCCCTAAGTGGGATTCGGATAAACTGACTACGTAAGAGGGAAACTGGGTCTTTGTATAAAGGTGATAAGAGCAGAGAGTTTGTATTGAGAACATGTGGGTTCAGTTCCTGGCTCTGCCACTGTCTAGTTGGGTGACGCTGGGCAAGCTGTTTAGCCCCTCCGAGTCTTGGTTTCCTCGTCAGTTCCTGACCTGCTGACCTCACAGTTTGTTAGAAAGGGTAGACAAGATGATGCGCAAGAATATGAAGGATGCAGAAACCATGCAAAAGCAAAGTGTTTAAACCAGAAGCCTTCAACAGGGTCGCACCATGGAGCACTGCCCATCAGAGCTGGTATGACTAGGAGGAAAGCAGGGGTGGATGTACGCTGCAGACCCTTCCAGGTCAAAGAAGCAACTTCCCTGCCCTGGGCTGAGCCCACAAGATAGAGGGGATTGGACGATCCCTAAATGTCCAGGGCTAGTCCAGGCACCGTCATCTCTCATCTGTACCACTGCACCAGCTTTCTAAAGGTGTCCCAGCTCCCACTCTGGTCCTCTCCAATCTATACTTCATGGGTTTCAGCCCACATGCTATACCCACATGGCCTCCTCACTTTCTCTTTTGGTCCCTCTTGGCACAGTGCCATTGAGCAAGCTGTGACCACTGCCTGGTGCACTTTCCCTCCCTCTCCACCAGGTAACGTCTGTCTGCCTTCTAGCCTCAGCTCAATCATCACCTCCTTGAGGATGTCTTTCTTGGCCTCCTAGACTGGGTCAAATCCCCTCCACTGCACTTCCAGGGATCACGAGCCTCTGTCTCCTGACATTTATCATAGTTTTGATTTTACATTTATTTACGAGTTTGTTCGTTAATATGTCTGCCCAACTTGTCCATATGCCCACACAGAACGGGGTCTGTCGTTGGTGCTCGCTGCTGTGTCCACAGCGCTGTGTGTGGCTCTCAGCCCCCAGTCGACGCAGTAGAGAGTGTTATTTCAGAGCCTGGGCTTTGGACTCAAACTGCCTAGATTCAAACCTTGGCTCCACCCCTGACTGGCTGGGTGCTCTAGCTCTTTAAGTCTTGATTTCCTCATCTGTAAAGTGAGGAGAATAATACCTACGGCACGGAGTCCTTATGAAGACAATAAAAGATAATACACCTTAGGTGCTTAGAATGAAACTTGGTCCATAGCTAGCATTCAATAATGTCATCTGGGAGAAATAGTAGATGCTTAATAGATACACACTGAATGCATGCGTGAATGAAAAGACAAATTCTGTAGGACTTGAGTCCCTATGACCCCCAGCCCCATCCTGCTGGGGAGGTTGCGTGGTGCAGTCGGCTCGCCACTCACCGGAGCCCATGCCTCACCTGTGACCCTGCAGCCGTAGAGCTCCAGCCGGAGCGCGATGCCCGAGTACCAGGTCTGGGGGCGGATCCTGACAAACCGCGTCAGCAGCGGCGTGTGGAGCTTGTTCAGAACCACCTCGGTGGCATCGTTGTTGGCTTGAAATACCTGCAACATAAGACACCTAACTGCATCACTGAAATCCCTGTTCGTAGCTTAACCGCTCAAACAGTCTTTGAAGCGGGTGAGAAAGTCCTGTTGACTTTTATCTCCCTCAAGCTTACAAATAATCAGTGGTCTTGTTGTTTGGTGCTGTTTCAGAGACACTGTAAAAAAAAAAATTCTCACATTGTTCCAACTTGAAAACAATAAACATCTTCACAAAAACTTTTAGAGGGAAGGAAAATTTTGCCCCTGGGCTGAGAGCAAGCAGAGGAAGGAGCCTTGGAAGGCAAACACTTCAGAAGCTAAGAGAAAGAGAGAAAAGTAGAAAATTCTTTAAAAATGAGGGGAAAATGGGTGTCATCTTTTAGGGCTAGCGGACCTCACTCTCGAGGGTGAACTTGACACTCCCTCTTCCTCCTGTTGCAGGTACCCAGGAATACTTGCAGAGCGTTTGTAATTATAAAGTGCTCCATAATTGTTTTTGTTAGTTACTTGATGCCGTCCTGCTCCACCAGCGGGGGAGATTGTAATGGGGGACCCGCTACCCCCAGCGCCCCCATGTCAATCAACACGTTCTTGGATCTCTCTGGTCTTTGTTGTAGGGTCAGGGTTGCAGACAGTCCCTCAGAGTCCTGCTCTGGCTTCCTCTCACTGTAGTCCCCGCCCTATAATGAAATCCATCCCTGTCCCCATCTGACCAATACGTCTCTTATGGGAAGAAAGGCTTTTTGGAGCAGCTTCTGGTTCAACATGGTAGGAGCAAGTTCTGGCTCACCAGATGGTCCAAATCAATAGCTGCCATATGGAACTTATGCTTTTTTGTGTTCCCATTAAAAAAAAAAAGTAACCAGAGCAAGTATATGTGAATTTCTCTTGGTTTCCCCGGATAAAGGTAGAGGGAAAAACCAATCAACCAACCATCACTTCTAAATCTATAAAAAACAACCAACCAACCAACCCACCACCACTCCTATACCTGTTGTAGCTATAACCACCAAGAGACTCTGTAAATCTTCTCACAGCCAACTCTGTGGCAATCGGTGATTTCTCCTGCGTGGGGGAACTAGGTGCTTCAGCTCATGGCACCCAGGGCATACCTGGTGTTGGGGGCACCAACAGGGCTGAGACAAGAGGAATGGGGAACTGGTGTATCTGCATACCTTTGTGCTGGACGCTGTAAACACAATTATGTCTGCAATGCCTCGAGGAGATACATATTGTTATCTTGACTTTATTGATGAGGAAACTGAGGCTCAGAGATGCTTGCCTGGATCCAAGGCCCTTGCCAAATTTGTAGACTTAAAGCTTGTGGTTTCCTAGGTTGACTTTTATCGCTTAATAAATTTGAGGTGCTTATGTTGGTGGCTAGGAGTCATGGAACCCTTAGGGTCTGTAAAGCATGGCTTGAATGGAAATGGAGTCGCTGTCCAGTGGTGGGCTCCCAGTGTGAGTTCATAATCCCACCTTAGAATGGCTTTGAAGAAAGGCAAAGAACGGCACAGGAATTTAGAGCCAATTAACTGTATAGTCCTCTCCTCCCCATGAACTGTGAACCCCATCATCTGGCAACCTTGAGCCCTCTGTATTTCCCACGTGCTAAGGTCAAAAGTTAGAGCCATTTGGTAGCACACCACTGGTGTGGAGTAGAGACGTCAGACCTTCTGCAACTAAATGAAGGGAAGTGGCTTGCTCAAGACAAAGAAGGAAACAAACAGGTTTTCATGGGTTTGCCATATTCAGTTTAAACCACTGTTCTGGTGCTAAGCCTGCCAAATCTGGGGGCTGGCTCCCACCCTGCCCACCCAGCTTGCTGCTCCCTCTGCTCCCCTGAAAATCTCTCAGTTTCTTCTAAGGCCGTCAGTGTCCCCCTCTCTGCCTGGCTGGCAGCGGGGAGCACAGAGGAAGGACTGGTGGACCACGCCCCTCGCCCAGGTTCGATGTCGCTGCTTCCTGTACAGGGATGGAAGACAAGGACGAGTGACAGGACAAAGTTAGCATGGGAAGAAGAGGGGGCCAGGAGAAAGGAGGACACAGAGCTAGGGCCAGACACCTGGGAGAAGGTTCTTGGGGAGTGGGTGACCCTGCTCCCTCCATGCTGAGAAAGGGCTCCCCAGGGGTCAGGAGAGGGATGGGGGAACCAAGTCCAAGGGAAAGAGATTAATCAGCTCTCCCAGAATTCACAGGAGGCAGAGGCCTTTTGTTTGTTTTTTTGTTTTGTTTTGGCAAGGAAGAAGTAAATGCAGCACTTGGCTTATTTCTGACGGGTGCTGTGAGCAGCGGGGGGCTGCCGCTGGCCTGCTCCCCGAGGAAGGTGCTGGGACTGTGTGTGCATGTGGCCTCCATCAAGAGATGCTAAGGAGTTCATATGGGGGAAACTAGCTCTATTTGTCATGTGAATGCATAATTGGAGAGTCGAGTGGATCTGAACTTTAACACAGCTGCTAATCCTCAGCATCCACACCACGCTGGTACCGTTTAGAAACACAGCACGTCTTATGTGTTTTTAATACCCAGTTTTATCTTATCTGACCCCTTCATTTCTCAGCTTTGGCAGACACCACCAAGAAACTTTTTCTTTCCTCCCACAGTGAGGAACTGGCTGCGTATTTGGGCCATCTTTGGGAGGGTGGTGTGCCTGTGAGCATGGCTGCACTCGGGCAAGAGGTGCACACGCTTGTGGATGTGCCTGGGGGGTGGGGACCGGTCTTCCCATGGACATGTGTGGCCACAGGCTTTGGATGAAGCCCCCACTCTCTGCCTGCAGGGGCATCTGTCGGGGAGGGAGGCAAGCACACGGCTGGTCTCCCCTCGGCCCTCTACCTGGCCCCTCAAGTTCAATTTCATTCTGCTCACCCTGCTCCCACCCCGGGCATCAAAAGAAGGATTTTCCCAACATGGCTTCAAATTATCCTTCATGTTTCTGAGTCTAGTTTCTCACTGGTTTCTTGTTTGCCCTTGACCTGTGTCCATATCTGCCATCTGTTCTCCAGACCCTTTGCTGAAGGACCATCATCTTATTTTATTAGATTTTTAACACAGCTCTCACTCTGAGTGTGGCTTGGTGGAAAAAGCAAAAAATGCCCACTGAACGAGAAGCCAGGAGCCAGGCTCTGCTGCTAATTAGCTCATAAGTGTGGGCAAATATCTCTGCCTCCCTCGGGCCCCAATTTCCTCCTCTGTTAAGCGAGGGGATTGCACGAGTTGATTTGTAAGTTCCTCTCTGGCCCCCTGCTTCTAAGCCTTTCTTCACCAGAGAGTCCACTTTGTAACGGGCATTTTAGTTACTCGTTGTCCCCTAAGTGCTTTTGTGGACAAGCGCTGTGGATTCTTTATCCACTTCAGATAGTGCCCAGGACACATGGGGAGTGCCCCATTCACAGGGAGAGTACACCTTGTTGATGTGTTGGTTCAATAACAGTTCAAATTATTCATAACAGAGTAATGAATAACAACACCTTAGTCCCTACATATTGTCTTTTGCCCAAAGATATCAAAGTGCAATTTATGAAAATCCATTTTTAATGAAATATTAAGCAGTTTCTATTTCTTCTGACCCAATGGATTTACAAGGTCTCTATTTTTCTCCCTGCATCTCCCCTATTTATAGCTGGTAAATGCTATCATATATTATACATCTTTATGACTTTCTCAATGCTTCTGTGGTTTTAGAATCACCCTTCATCTGTTTTCTGATCAAATTCCCTGAGATGGTTTCTTGGCTTCCAGTCTAGGCATTGCAAGGTAAGGGGTTGTGTGCGTGGGAAATGATGCCAGGAAATTGGTTTTATTCCCTATTCCCTGCCGACTTGCTGAATCGCTATGGGCAAATCAATAAACCTTAGATACCTTGGTTTCTCCTTCAGGAAGATAAAGTCGATAACAGGCTTGCAGATAGACACTAAAGTTTACCGGCCCTCCCTGCTGGCTCCAAGGCCTGCACGGCTCCCACGACAGGGGAGGCCAAGTCACAAGTAACAAATGGGTCTTTGGACGAGTGGGAGAATTCAAGTTCTGAAGGCCATGACTTCCAAGTCCCACCTTGAAGCCAAAAATTTTCAGACTGTAACTTTGCAGTGAGGAGTCTGCAATGCTGAGAAAAATCATCGGATTACCATGTATCCTATACCCAGATCAATATATATCAAACACAATGATCAAATTCTAGCATCTGCTTTAAAAGCTGGATGTCACAGAAGATATACTTTTTTATTAATTTTAAAAGAAAAATTTTACTATGGTTGTTTACCACCCAAAGGAAAATCAGAAGTATGTTCAAGGTGACCCTCGCTTTTTGGGGACAGTGCTGATTATGCTGTAATTATTTAAAATATGTGTGTATGTGTGTTAAAAAAAGAAGCTATGTTGAACATAAAGATTTCTTCAAGTGAATCTCTGCAAACCAAGTTCAAAAACCAATTCTGGGTACAAAGTGGTCTGGATAATCCATTTGGTCCCTCACTGAATTCTCAACATAATCCAACATTTTCCAATTGATTCTTGAGACCTTTGCTTTATTTTCAGTAAGACAGAATCAGAAAACCGGCAGCCTTTCATGGATTTTCTGATTTGCACCTCTGGGGGAGGAGGGCATCTGCCAATTAAATTGGCTGCTATCCAACATTCCAGTGTAGTTGTTATCTACACCACCCCCAGGAAAAGAAAATCAGTGAGTTTTGACCATGTCAGTGAGTCCACCAGGCATGGACAGTATAATATAAAAGAAAAATCTGTCTATCTATCATCTATCTATCTATCTATCTATCTATCTATCTATCTATCTATCTATCTATCATTTATCAAATCTAGCAAGAAACATCTAGCCAGAGCACATCACTGATGTTTTTTGAGGTTGCCTTTTCTCTATTTCTCATCCCATTTCTAGCCACAGCCACCTTTCCTTTGCTAACCCCTCAGTTTTTCTTTGAAGAACATGCAGTGACTCTGGCTAAGGACAGTGAGCACTGCAGCCTGCCTACCCTCCAGGCCTCGAGGCAGGGGCGTTT